GGGTCCGAGGGAAAAGCACAGGCTGGCAGAGAGGTCCTGGGCGGGCAGCTTGGCCCGGCATGCCTCCGAGACGGCCCGGGCAGCTGGGAGGACACGGCCTGCCTCTGGGGTCTGGCTCGTCATGTGGTGGGAACCGGCCTCTGGCGCCAGCTGCTTAATGCGAACATTAAACGCCATTCATGTTGAAAGGGGATGAAACGAAACGCACTTCATTTTTCCAGAGGTCTCCTAACAGGCATGCAGAATCCATTTTTTCCTGCCGCCAATTAATGCCAGCCGCGCCGTGGTTTGAGGTGACCGCCATGCGGTGATGTGGGGAGTGGGCTGGCTGTGGATGGCGGGTGTGCGCTCCAGCTGTGAGTCCCGTGTCCTGACCGCAGCCTGTGGGGTCCCGGGAAGGCCAGGTGAGCTGAGACTGGTCTCAAAGGCGGGAGCGGGTCCGGGCAGCTGCTGGCAGATGTTCAGGGGCTGGCTTGGTGGGAGTCCCTGGCACCCTCCAGCCTTGTGGTTTCCAAATTCACACGGGTTTGCCCAGTCTGGGCACCCTTCCCTCTGCCCCGTGGTCCGCTGGCTGCCTCCTCCCACGCAGCTGTGTCAGCAGCGATCGATGGTCGATGGCCGGGTTTTAAACTGTTCCTCTCCTTGTTCTTGCCCGGAAGGCAGCCGCTGTGCCTTTAGCCCAAGAATCGGTGCCCACTCGGAGCCTGGCCGTCACGGAGGAGGTTCTAGAAACGGCGAGCCCTTTCTCTGCCCCGGGCGGGATGTTCTCGGGGCGCCGGTGTCACCATCTGCCCTCCCTCTCCTGCCCCAGGGACATTCTCCGTTACGTCCTGGGAGTCGGCGTTCAGCGGATTGTCGCTCCCTGTGGAAGGGCGTGCCTGTTGTCCAGCGGCCTGTTGTCGGTGTAGGTTTCTGCGGTCTCAGTCTCAGAGCCTGTTTCCAGCGGGGCTGATGGACCCTCCCGTGGCTGATAAACTGGCTGCTCTTCCTTGATTGCCAGAGGGGCCGTCGGTGGGTCGTGGGGCAGAATCTTCAGCAATGCTGCTGCCAACGGGCGCAGAAACCCAGAGGCGCTGCCCCCCACACACACAGTCCTGGGGGAGGGCCCAGAATCCTCACGTCGGGGGAACTCTGCTAACCCATCAGAAACCTAAGGGGCCACCTTCCGATGTCACAGAGCGCAGGACCCGCTGGCGGCTGAGGTGAGAAGTGACCCAGGCCTCCTTCGGACTTCGGCTGGGACTTGCCGGTTGCTCCCAGGGGACTCGTTCTTAATGCCACACGGGCAGCCTGGTCCTGGCGGGAGCTCAGACCGGGCAGCCCAGGGGCAGCGCCGTGAGCTGGGCTTGTGGTGCTGGTCCCAGGGACAGCCGGGCGGGGGCAGCGGTGGGCAGCCACGCCTCAGGTGCCTGAGGTGCAGGTGCCCTGTGCTGGCGCTGTCTGGGTAGACGCAGACACTGCGGCTCCGGCCTCACCAGGCGTGGCCGCAGCCCTTCCCCGCTGCACCCAGGCTCACAGCTTCCGAGGTTCAGCCAGCCAGCAAGTCAGAGCCTGGCACTGGGGCATGTGGGCCAAGTCCGACAGGGCCCTGAGTCCTCAGTCACCTTCATCGGCCCCCTGACCTCCCGCGCCCCCCCCCCCCCCCCCCGCACTCTCGGGTCTGTCTCCCTGGGTGCTCGGAGCAGGTGGGGATTGGATGTGTCCCGTGGAGGATGCAGGTCCTTGGCCTCAGGGCTGCCCGCCTCCGGCCCCTGCAGGGCTTCCCCCGAGCCCTCCGGCTGGCCCCATAGACCAGCCCAGTGAGGCTGCAGCCACTGTGACTGGTGAGGGAATGGAGGCCTGGGAGGGGCGTGGACACGGCCCCTTCGCTCCTGCTCCCGCTGCCTTTCTGCAGCAGAGCGGGGCCCCGTCCTCGGCGGGCTGATTGGGCAGAGCCCTCCCCTCCTGGCAGCCGCCCCTTCCCCCTGCTGCCACTCGGCGCAGGCGTGCGCTGGCTTGGCCCCCGAGCCAGCTCTGGGCTCCTGCCTGGGCCTTGAATCAGAGGCAAGTGACAGGGAGGCGGGCAGCAGGGAATTGACGGGGGCTGCAGCATCCTGTTTCCAGGGGCAACGGTGGCAACAGCGGCAGCTGCATGCCTGCAGTCCCTGGCCGTCCCCGCAGATGTTTCCGGAGGCCCGGTTAGGGCCGCCCTGGACCGGGGCCAGCCTTGGCTCCTGCCGTTTTCTGAGCTGCTCCTCCAGCTTCCCAGAAGTCCTGAGTTATGGGACAGCCTTTCAGGAATTGCTTTTGTGCCTAAATTAGCCAGCCTCCGCTTCTGGAGCCTCCGCGGGAGCCCTGCCCGGGAGGGGGCTTGTGGCTCGTCAGGCTCCAGGGCTGGGGCCCGAGCCAGGTCTCCTGGGCCCGGGGCTGCTGGGAAACAGCCGGGGGCCTGCCAGGGCCAGCGCTGCAGAGCGGGACCCCGGTGGGAGGCCGGGTCGTGGGGAGCCCATTCACAGGCTGTGCACACACACATGAGCGGGTTTTGCTGTGAGATTGCTCCGAGCTTTAACATGCTAATGTGCAGGCTGAGTGTTCCCGGGACGGGTGGCGTGTCCAGCTGCTCCCTGGGCCCGGAGCCCTTCCTCGGAGCATCCTCTGGGAGCATGCTCTGGAAAACGGGGCCTGGACCCTTGGTCTGGGTGGTGGACACACTGTCCAGTCCAGCACGTGTGTGCGAGCGATGCTTCTGCCACCAATAGGGCCCTGACTTATGGTAGCCAGTGCCCTGCCCCAGCTCCTGCCACGAGCTCGGGGTTGGAAATGTCCCCGTGTGTAGGGTGGGAGACAGCTGTTGGCTCTGGCCCCAGGAAATGGGGGGAGGCCCCCTGGGGCTGGGAGAAGGGGTGGCCATCTGCTTCTGAAGAGGGATCAGATTTTGAGGCTATTGGATAAGATTGTGAAGAGGGTGGAGCATCCTCGACTACAAGGTCAAAGGGCAAGGCCATTGGGTTCAATGTCGATTATGGCTGGGATAAATAACCCCAAGTCCTTCCCAGCTACCAGGTCTCAACACAGGTTCGGGCCAGTCCTGTGCCAACCCTGAGACTCAGTTGCCCTTTATCCTATAGGCCAGGGGTCGGCAAACTCATTAGTCCACAGAGCCAAATATCAACAGGACAACGATTGACATTTCTTTGGAGAGCCACATTTTTTAAAACTTAGACTTCTTCTAACGCCACTTCTTCAAAAGAGACTCGCCCAGGCCGTGGTATTTTGTGGAAGAGCCACACTCAAGGGGCCAAAGAGCCGCATGTGGCTTGTGAGCCAGTTTGCCAACCACGGCTACAGGGCAAAGCCGTGTGGCTCCGAGTCAAAGTGATGGGTGGTGGGAGGTGAGTGGGACCCTGCCCCTGCCTGGTGAGGTGGGGTGGGGGTGGGAGGACCCTCTCAGAAGCTTGGTTTCCATCTCACAGGCTGTGGTGCCTAGAAGGGGACCTTCAGGGGGCGTGGGGAAGGTTCCCTATCAAACCCCCTGTGCTCCCGTGGGACCCCCCGTGGGTTTGCACAGAAAATGGGGATTGGATAGGGTGGCTCTGGAACCTGGCGGCTTGGGATGGAATCTCGGGGTACTGCTTACACGTGGTGTGGTTGGGGGGATGCTTTTGACCTCTTCAAGGATCTGGATGTCTCTGGGAGCAGTGGGAGGCAGGGAGGAGAGGCACCGGAGGAGGACAGCTTGTGAGAGCGGACTCACTGAGAAGCCGGTGCGGGGAGGTGAGGCTGGTGGCAGGGAAGGAGGATCTGGGGTAACCCGAGCGGAGCAGGGGCGGACGGTGCCTTCTCCGAAATGCGCCATAAGGGAGGCGTGCGTGCAGGTGACCGTCGGGGTCAAGGCCATTTGAGGTGCCTCCAGGACAGCGAAGGGGGGTGGAGATGGGGAGGGAGCACTCGGCTCTGGTCAGGAGCTCACGGGGTCGGCAAGGAGGACAGCAGGCTGGTGGAAGTGCGCACCCCACCGCCCTCCCTTGCGCTGGTGATTTCTGGGCTCCCGGGGTGAGTGTGACTTTAATAAACGAGCAACCAGCCGAGACCGGTTTGGCTCAATGAATAGAGCGTTGGCTTGGGGACTGAAGGGTCCCGGGTTCGATTCCAGTCAAGGGCATGTATCTTGGTTGCGGGCATATCCCCAGTAGGGGGTGTGCAAGAGGCAGCTGATCGATGACTCTCTCTCATCAATGTTTCTAACTCTCTATCTCCCTTCCTCTCTATACAAAATCAATAAAATATATTTTAAAAAATAATAATAAATAAATAAATAAATAAACAAGCAACCGGGCCCCCTCCCTTCCTGCCGTCTCACTGCCCTCTGGGGTCTGCTCCCGCTAACATGTGGCTGTGCTGACCAAGCCGACACCTGCCTCCACCGGCCCGGAGGACGCGTCCCGGGACTTGTCTGTGCGTTTGCACGTTTGTCCGGATGTAAGGACGTTCGGGAGCTTTGCAGAGCCTGTGCGTTTGATCCCGCTGTTCTGCCGCCCACCCCGGACACAGGTGTAGCGGTGCAGGTGCGGGCTGAGCACGCAGCTCTGTACACGTTGTGTTTACACGTTGTGTTTACCCATGCTGCACCCGGAACGCCGTGGCCGGTCTGCAGCTTTCCTCGGTGAGGACGGGGTCGTGGTTGATTGCTTTCTGAGGGCGGGGAGCGTGGTGTTCGGGCTCTTCCAGAGGAGGCCTCGCCCCGGCCTCGTGAAGATCGGCAGAGGGAGGAGGAGGGGGAGGAGGAGGGCAGTGACGGGAATGAAGCGAGGTGCCGCTGAGGGCGACGACGGGCTGTTCTATCCTCGGGGTGGCTGGGTGGTAGGATGATGCCGTGTGGGACCGAACTCCAAACTCGGGGGGAGAGCTTTGGAAGATGTTTCCCGTCTTAAACACAGGGTTCCTGCGGTGCTTTAAGGCGACCCCCCTCTTTCCGTGCACGTCCTCACCCTCCTCGCACTGTTTCCGTAGGTCCGAGGAGGATGGACGCGGCCTGCGCGGTGAAGCACAGCATGGTGGCCAGCCCCATGGGGCAGATCCGGATCTCCGGGTGCGAGCAGGGTCTGCACGAGATCAAGCTGCCGGCCGCTGGGTGAGTGACTCCCGCGGGACACCTCTGGGTGGTGGCTCGGAGCCACAGAGGGAACGGGCGTGGTTCCTGCTGGCTTTCTCTTGGCCACGGGCAGTAGGAGCCACGGGCACAGCCACAGAAATTAGCTCAAGTGCGCGTCCACGTCCTTCATTTTCATCCCTCATTTTAGCACCGGATGCCCTAGAGCCGTCGTCGGCAAACTGTGGTTCTCGAGCCACATGTGGCCCCTTGGCCCCGTGAGTGTGGCTCTTCCACAAAACACCACGGCCTGGGCGAGTCTATTTTGAAGACGTGGCGTTTGAAGAAGTTTAAGTTTAAAAAATGTGGTTCTCCAAAGAAATGTCAATCATTGCGCTGTTGCTTATGTGGCTCAGTCGGCTAATGAGTTTGCCGACCACGGGCCTAGAAGCCCCTGTGAGTAAGCCAGGGCCTGACTCAGCAGCTCCCAGGCGCTCGGGGAGAGGAGCTGCTGGGTTGTGACCACCGAATGCCGGTCCTTCCCATGTGACGTGGGATTGCTCTGGACACGGGGTGGCTCGGGTGCCTTCTCCAGCGTGGCTTTTAGTGGGGCCCGTCCTCCCAGTCCAGCGGGCCGGGGAGCTTCCTATCGGAGTGCTGTGCCGGCCCAGGGAGGAGCACTGGCCTCTCAGTGCAGCTGGGGGGAAGCAGGAAGCCCCCTTCTAAGAGTGACATCTGGGCGTCCCTTCACTACAGGACACGCTACCCTCCCTGGCGAGCCCTCCGCGCTCTGTCTCTCTGACTGCAGGGCGTCAGCATGGAGAGCCTGCCCCGGGCTCCGCTCTGAGATGTGACATTAGCTCTCCTCCGGCATCGATCGTGGCGTCGGTGAACGTGGCGGTTCTCCTTATTCCTGCCGGGAGGGGGAAGCCAGCCACGTCCCAGCCCGGTGTTTGTCACCTGGCTACTGAACACAGCGCCAGGGCCATTAGATAAAGAAAATACATAAGCAACATAAACACCGACTCCAATGGGCCCTGTCAGAGCCGCCGTAACGAGCACCCGCCGTCATAAATACGCTGCCCGCCTGCCGCCGAGCCTTTCCTTCGAGCCGGGGGTTGCAATCGATAGACTTTGTGGAGACAGAACGAGGCGCCCCTCGGAGCCCTGTGTCCCCTGCCCCCACAGCCCGCGGGCGGGGCGTGGGGAATCACAGGCGGCGAGTAATTTCCAGGGGGAAGTGCCATTGCGTCTCTCAGCATCTTCGCTGTGTTGAGTGTTTCTGTTTGTTTAAAACCCGCTCTGTAAAGTAGATTTGGGGGGGAAGGGGGGACACAAGCGCTGTAAGTAAGGGATGTTGAGTGGAATGCCCGTTAGGACCACAGAACAGAAAGAATATTGAGTTTCTCCGCTCAGTGAATCAAGCCCAGATGAGGCTCAGCCGTGGGGCGCGGGCCGCCAGGACTGGTTGTTTACCAAATGTGTGTGCAGCGCTGACTCCCTCACAGGTGGGGCTTGTGTTTTTATTTCCTAGTCTTCAAATGAGTACAAGTTTTGTCTCTAAGAAATCTCGCCTAATGTAATCTCACAAATACATTTCCATTTTAAAAGTTTTCTCAGCTCCGAGGAGGGGAGGTTGAGGTTGTGGGGGGATTGAGCAAAAGACAGATAAAAGAGAGAACTCCCGGGCATGGCCAACAGGGTGGCGACTGGGGGCGGAGGTGGCAGAGGGCATGAGAGGGTAAATGGTGATGGGAAAATAAAATAAAGAATTTTTAAAAGCTTTATCATTTAACCTTTTATTTGGGTACGTGGGCTGTATCTCACATTGCTTCCACATCGATAGTTGTCGCTTCAGCATTATTTGTTGGAAACAACAACTTCCATTTTCCCTGGAATCGTCTTGGTGCCCTTGACAAAACTCGATTGGCCACACGAGTGAGGGCCAGTGAGGCCTGGACAGTGCTCGCCCCGTCTGTTCTATGTCACCACCGTGTTGACTGGATGCTTTGAATTAAGGTAACCTGCGTCCTCTAACTTGATTTTAGGGGGGAAAAGTTGTTTTGGCTTTAGGTGTCTTGGTTTTCCATATTACCTTTACAGTCAAGGCTTCAATCTCTTAAAAAGAAAGAAAGGAAGGAAGGAAGGAAGGAAGGAAGGAAGGAAGGAAGGAAGGAAGGAAGGAAGGAAGGAAGGAAGGAAGGAAGGAAGGAAGGAAGGGAGGGAGGGAGGGAGGGAGGAAGGGAGGAAGGAAAAGCATATTGGTATTTTGCTTGGGACCCCGTTGAATCTATATCATTCTGGGCCGGGTTCACATCTTTTTAATTCTGAAGCGAATGACTGTAGTTTATCTGGGCGTTTGTTTAGTTTCCCTTCCGTTTCTCTCGGCAGCGGTGTGGTGTCCAGCTTAGAGATCCCGCCTGGTCTTTGTAAATCTGATTGCTGAACGGTCGGATGGTATTCAAAATCCTCTTAAAACTGCTTTACTTGTCTGGCTGCTGGGATGTAACAATTGACTTTTGTATATTGATCTCATATTCCACCACCTTACTAAATTCTCTTATTAGTTCCAGGAAGTGTTTCCCAGGTGCCTACGATTTTCTTTATAGGGAATCACGATGCCTTTTATTTCTGCTTTTTTATTGCGCTGGCTGGAGCCTCCGGGTGGTGCTGAATGCAGGTGGTGACAATGGCCCGCCCCCCTGTGTGTGTGTTGGGGGGGGGGGAGACCCGGCCTGAGGGGCAGGGCCTCCGTGGGCGCCGCGGGCTCCTCAGGCTGAGGATGTTTCTGTTGAATTTCGTCGAAAGATTTCTGTACACATGTCACCATAATCATGTTTTCCCTTTATTCTTTAAGTGTGGTGAACTAAGCCAATTTTAGGATTTTAAACCCATCTCGAAATGCTGGGCTCTACCACTTGAATCATGGTTTTTGTTTTATGTTTACGTCTTACGGGTTTAACTGCTATTTTGTTTCATGATTAAGTATGTAAGTTCGTGAGGGGAGTGTCTTCCTTTGTCGTGTTGTTGTCAGGTTTCGGTTGCAGGGAGGTGGGAAGGAGGGGGTGGGAGAGAGAGAGAGAGAGAGAGAGAGAGAGAGAGAGAGAGAGAGAGAGAGAGAAGCATCCACGTGAGAGAGACACACGGGGGCTGGGGAACCTGTAACCATGCCCTTGACTGGGAATCGAACTCTCAACCCTTCTGTCTGCAAACTGATGCTCTGACCACTGAGCAAACCAGCTAGGCTCCTCTTCGGTTTCTTGAAGTCATGTGTGGATTGGTATGACTTTTTCTTCACGCTGTGGCTAATTTCACCTTGGATGCCATCTGGGTCGTGTGTGTGTGTGTGTGTGTGTGTGTGTGTGTGTGGAAAGGCCTCTGACCACCTGATAGAACTGGGTGCTGCCCCTGGAGGAGACCTTCCCACCTGGCTTGCCTTCGGGCAGGAGAGCCCCTGCCCCAGCCCTGCTGACGATGGCGGCGCAGGGGCTGTGAGCAGAGCATCCTGTTCCCCCACCACCACCTGTGACGCCTGTTCCCGTTAGCCATCCGACTGCACGGGGGGCAGAAGTACAGCCGTGAGTCTGGAAAACAGCTTATTGTTTATTATTGCTTACCAGCCACTGGATTTCCCGTACGCACAACTGTAAACCTCCTTTTGCCCACCCTGTACATACAGCTTCATACAGTGATTTCTTTTTCTTTTCTTTTCTGTACAAATTACCTTTCCTTCCCCAGAAATATTTGAGTGGAGAATATGGATTTGGAAAGGGGTGTAATCGTCTCAGTTTTATAACTTCCTGTCAACATCACGTTCCCATTCACAGCGTCACGGCCAGGAGCGGCTGGCTGCCTGCCAGGGCCGGGCGGCTGTCTCCGCCCGTGGCACCAGGAGGCGGTGCGGCGGTGACCTTGTCAGGGTCCTGCAGGGCCTAATGCCGGGGAGCAGGGCTGTGTTTACTTCTCCGCTGCTCTTTGGGGACGGCGGCCTCCTGTGGCGTTGGTTAGGGTATTTGGCGGCTGGAAAAGCGGCCTGTCCCGCGCCGGGCGCACCTGCGGTGCCAATGGGAGGAGCTTGGGAGCCAGGAAGCCGGAGAGAAGGAAGGGCACAGGCTCCGTCTCTCGGGGCCAGAGGCCTGCCTTTGTTGTTTATTTTTTGCGTGTAAACCTCCTTAGGAAAATGCAGGCGTGCGGGGCTGGAGGACTGGAATCTCACCATGGCAAAACTTCTCCGTAGTTTGGAAAACTTCAAATTTCGGGCAGCCTGCTTTCCGCTTCCTGGTAATCCCTGGTGCTGCTCACCCACCTCTGGCTCTGCCGCTGAGACACGGGAGGGTGGGCTGACCTCCTCCAGGACGTGGGTGGCTGGGGGGCCTGGTCACCAGGTGGACGGGGTGCACCGGGGCCTCTGGCACTGGAATGCCACTGCAAGGGAAGGGGTCGTCCGCCTCGTTGGGTGCCCTGCGGTTTCCCTTCAGGCGCTCCCCAGGAACCACCAGAGAGGGAGGTCCGGGAGTCTCCAGGGGAGCTCAGAGCCTGCAGCCGCGCCGGGTCTGGGGTGAAACGGGCAGGGATGGCGCGTTCCTCGTGCTTTTCTCTATCATCTTCCCATCCGCCACGTGGGCCATCGGGACTGTGAGCACGTCCAGAGCCTGGGTGACCCCGACAGCCCGGCTCTGCCTCCTGCCAGGGTCCCGGGCCGGTCACTCCCATCCCAGCTGGCTCCTGAGGCCCACGCGTCGTCAGAACCTCCCGGACACACAGCTGCGTTCTCTCTGGCAGATGGGGACGCTGGTACGGGTACTTGCCGCACTTAGTTATCATCCATCTTTGCCGAAGAGAGGGACCCTGAAGCTCAGACACTCCTGTAGCAATAACCCCAAACCCAAACCCGCTGGGGGCCTGTCCCCGGGCCGGGCAGGCCTCACCGCTGCTCATCAGCGGCTCGAAGTAACGACTGGCGGTGTGTGTGCTTAAAAAACGTAATTATTTTACTTTACAGAGTGCTCCTTAAGGGGATCTCTGAGTTAAATGAGCATGTT